ATCCCATGAATAGGGCTTCGCTTGTTTGCGCAGACTGGTTGCTGGCAAAGAATATTATTCTGTCAATATGCTGAGAATGAGTGGGCGCGCTAAAAAAAGTTGTCAATGGATAAGACAGAGTGGAATAAAGAAACAGGTGTTTTCATTAAGAGGGGATGGATCACATGTTCCTGCCTTGGATTTTCATATTTTGAGCAAAACAGATGAATATCTTCACTTCTATTTTTGTAAAACTTCTGTTGGAGGCTGGACTGGAATCATTTAGATCAGTGGTTCTCAACCTTCCTAATGCCGCGATCCATTAATACAGTTCCTCATGTTGTGGTGATCCCCAACCAGGGGTGGGTTCTAAATTTTTTTACTATCGGTTCTATGGGCGTGGCTTATTTTGTGGGCGTGGCTTGGAGGTCATGTGACTGGGTGGGCATGGCTAGCTGGTCATGTGACCGGGTGGGCATGGCTATGTGTATAGGGACTGACTGGTCCTCACATTTATGACCATCCTCATATTTATGCCCATGCAGCATTCTTAACAACCATGTCACTCATTTCACAACTGCTTCTCTTCACCATGGTGATAAGATAGGGCAAAAAACGTAAAATGTGAGGACAGTTGTAAATTCGAGGAATGGTCAAAAGTGCGAGGACTAGCCAAAAATAACTTTTTCAGCCCTCTGAGTAGTCCATGTGCACAAAAGGACTACCCAGAGAGCTGAAAAAAGTGATTTCTGACAGGTCCTCGCACTTTTGACCGGTCCTCACACTTATGACCATCCTCACATTTATGCCCATTGTGGCATTCTTAACAACCATGTCAATCATTTCACCACTACTTCTCTTCACCACGGTGACAAGATAGGGCGTAAAACGTGAAATGTGAGGACAGTCGTAAGTTCAAGGACTCGTCAAAAGTGCGAGGACCGGTCAAAAATAACTTTTTCAGCCCTCTGAGTAGTCCATATGCACATAGGGACTATCCAGAGGGCTGAAAAAAGTAAATTCCTGACAGGTCCTTGCACTTTTGACCGGTCATCATTTATGCCATCATTTATCTTCTAGTCCAGAGATCTCCAACCTTGGCAACTTTAAGCCTTTAAGCTATGCTGGCTAGAGAATTCTGGGAGTTGAAGTCCACAAGTCTTAAAGATGCCAAATTTGAAGATCTCTGAGCTAGGGCTTTGGGGCCAGCCTTTGGGGAGGGGGTCCCATTCGGAGAGACCCCCTGCCTCTCAGGAAGCATCAGGCCCAGGCAAAGAAAGTTGCCAAGGTTGGAGATCTCTGGACTAGAAACCTCCAAAGGTTCCTTCCAACTCTGTAATTCTGGTATTGACAAGCAAGCACAGTTAAGCTACTTAAATCCTACAGAACAGGGGTCCCCAACCTTTTGGACCTCAGGGACCACCAAGTTCATAATTTTAAATTTCGCAGACCACTAATACGAATCCAGTGCACCACTTGCTGAAGCACTTGGACTCCCAGTGACAGGATAGGGTCCTTCAGGCACTCCCCCCCTCTCCCTCCCCCCCTTCTCTCTCCCCCCCTCTTTCTCTCTCTCTCTCCCCCTCTTTCTCTCTCTCTCTCCCCCGTCTCTCTTTCCCCCCCTTCTCTCTCCCCCACTCTTTCTCTCACTCTCTCCCCCTCTTTCTCTCATCCCCTTTCTCTTTCCCTCTCTCTCCCCCACTTTCTCTCTCTCATTCTCTTGCAGGGGGCCGATCTGGTGTCTGCAATGGAGAGCAAAATCTAGCTTCTTCTCTCTGCTGTAAGTGCAGCATCAGGATTCCGCCTTGGTATATTTGCGGCGCAAGGCAGCCCTCGTTTCCTGCTGACTCGGAGCGGTAAACAGCGTCTGGCTTGGGGAGCTGCTGGATTTTGCTCTCCATTGCTCTCTCAGCCCCCTGCAAGCTCTCATTTCTCGAGAAGCCCAACCAAAGTTTCCCGCACCACTTCAGGGAGCGCTCCTCGAGAGACGAGAGCTTGCAGGGGGCTGAGAGAGCAATGGAGAGCAAAATCCGGCTGATCCCCGAACCGGACGCTGTTTACCGCTCCGAGTCCCAAGCGGCAGGAGAGGAGGGCTGCCTTGTGCCACAAATATACCAAGGTGGAATCCTGATGCCGAACTTACAGCGGAGAGAAGAAGTCGGATTTTGCTCTCCATTGCAGACACCAGATCGTATTGCACCACCTGCAAAAATGCAAAAATTTCCAAATGTAGCCCTGCCCTCTAACAGCCCTCCTGATATTCAACTGTTGTCTCTCAAGGAGGATATTTACTTGGCCATCTTCATGCTTGAAAGGATTCTACAGTGTAACAGCAGATGTCTCCCACCTTGGCACCTTTAAAACTTGTGGACTTCAACTCCCAGAATTCTCCACAATTCCCCAGAATGGGCTAGGTGGGAGTTGAAGTCCACAGGTTGTAAAAGAGCCACAATTGCCCAGCCCTGGGCTAGGGTAGGCTGACGCTGCGCGGGTGGGAGACGGGGCAAGGCGAGGCGAGATGAGCCAGCAATTTAATAAACGGTTCGGTGTGCTGCAAGGCCAATAAATTGCAAAAAAACACCGAACCGTTTGTTAAATTACTGGCTCGCCCACCCCTCGCCCGCCCCACCCCCACTATTTATTGGCAAGGGGCGGGGCGAGCCAGCAATTTAACAAATGGTTCGGCCAAACCACCTAGAACTGGCAGAATCCCACCACTGGTTTGTTTCCCTCTAGCCATCAGCTGGGACTCCGGAGGCAGCAATAGATTGGGAATGGGCGGGGTAAGCGACCGGCGACCGGGGATCCAACAGAGGCAGAGGGTGAGGGTGAGTGAAGGCGTGGGGGGGACAAGAGAGGGCTTTGGCGACCCCTGTGAAATGGCCATTCGACCCCCAAAGGGGTCGCAACCCCCAGGTTGAGAACCGCTGATTTAGATGAACTCATAAGAAAATCCAAAAACTGAGAATAGTACATAGTCCTCAACTTACATCACTTCGTTTAGTGACCGTTCAAATTTACAATTGCATTAAAAATGTGACTTATGATCGTTTTTCAGAGTTATGATCTTTGCAGCATCTCCATGATCATGTGATCAAAATTCAGATGCTTGGCAACTGGTTCATATTTATGACCCTTGCTGTGCTCCAAAGTCATATGATCCCCTTTTGTGACCTTCTGACAAGCAAACTCAATGGGGAAGCCAGATTGACTTAACAACCGGGTTACTAACTTATTAATTACAGTGATTCACTTAACAACTGGGGCAAGAAAGGTCGTAAAATGATGCAAAACTCACTTAACAAATGTCTCTTAACAACATAAATTTTGGGCTCAATTGTGTTTGTAAATCGAGGATTACCTGTATTGAAGAAAGTTAAAACACAGCATTGAACTAATTTCAGCAACTATTGTATAATGAATTATAGACTACTCATATCTATACTATAATGTTCAAATATGCTTACTTTTAATTTTTTATGTTGCCCTACCTAATGAAGAATTTGGCCTCCTTCCTTTTGGATGGATTAACTTCTTTTCATCTGTTCTGTTTTCACAAGAGTCAGAATCATTTCTCGCCAATTGTATGGATTCATTCACAATTCTACATTATTTATCTGTAAATATGAAGAGGCAGTTGTCTGCATGCAATTCAGAAAGGGGGGGGCTGAAGGGGCCATTGGTTATGATTTCATCCATTTCAGTTCTTGTGATACATGAAAGAAGCATTTGAGGAGTGGACCACTGAAAAAAGTGGCCAGGAAAAAGCAGTTTGGAAGTTGTACTGGTAGTGCTTGACTTATGACCACAACTGAGCTCAAAATTTCCATTGCTAACCAAGTTAAGTGAGTTTTGCCCCATTTTATGACCTTTCTCGTCACACTTGCTAAATGAATCATTGCAGTTAAGTTAATAATAATAATAATAATAATAATAATAATAATAATAATAATAATAATAATAATTTTATTTCTATACCGCCCTTCTCCCGAAGGACTCAGGGCGGTGTACAGCCTATTTAAAAACACAGACAAAACAATGATATAAAATTTAAAATAATTAAATAAGTGGCTCAAATTTAAAACCCCAATAAATTTAAATACCCCAATTTAAAACTATTGTGTTGATAGTCCGGCCTGGCGGAACAACAGGGTCTTCAATGCGCAGCGAAACACCGGGAGGTCGGAGATCTTACGAATTTCCGGGGGCAGTTCATTCCACAGGGCTGGGGCTCCCACAGAGAAGGCCCTCCCCCTGGGCGTCACCAGCCGACATAACTTGGCCGATGGCACCCTGAGGAGGCCCTCTCTGTGGGAACGAACTGGTCGGTGGGAGGCTATTGGTGGCAGAAGACGGTCTCGGAGGTACCCGGGTCCTATGCCATGGAGCGCTTTAAATAAGACAGTTGTTAAAGTGAATCTGGCTTCCCCATTGACTTTGCTTCTCAGAAGATGGCAAAAAGTGACCACATGACTCCAGGGCACTGCAACCTTCCTAAATATGAACCAGTTGACAAGTGTCCAAATTTTGATCATGTGAGCACAGGGATGCTGCAACAGTCATTAAATGTGAAAAATGGTCAATGTGAAAAAGTTTTTTCAGTACTGTAACTTTGAATGGTCACTAAATTAATTGTTATAAGTAGAGGGCTACTTATATATTACAGGGAGAGATCGGGGAGTTAAGGATTTGTAGAAAAAAAAGTTGCTAGTGTGTGATGCTTTTTAATTAGTATTGGTATCATTAAAGTATTAGCCTCGGAGCAAAAAAAAAAGGGGGGGGAGAAAAGAGGGAAGAGGAAAAGAGGGAGGAGGGAAGAAAGCAATCACTAATTCTTCTCGGATGGCTCCAAAGTACAGGTTCACACGCTCGAGGCTTATGGGGAATGAGCATATTACAATAAGATTGTAGGGCAACAAGGGGATCAATGGATGGGAGTGAAATCGCTCTCCTGAACACCGCACCCGTCTTCCTTTCCCTCCCTCACCCAGGCCCGGCAGTGCTAAGCGCTGCGCCCTCACCCGCTTGTTGCGGTCCGTCTCCTTCACGTCCTCCTCCTGGAGCCCCTCCCGGATGAGCGCCCGCACGACGGCGGCGTTGTTGGTACAGCAAGCGCGGAAGAGACTGAGCTGCTGCTTGCTGTCGGAAAGTTCCGATTCGTCCTCGTCGTCGGCCTCTTGGGGCGGGTAGAAGGAGTCGTCTGAAGCGATGCTCCGCGTGTCCGGGAGGTCCGAGAAGTCTTCATACTCCTCGTCCTCCTCCTCATCGACCCATTCCTCCTCCTCCTCCTCCTCCTCCTCCTCCTCTTCTTCCTCCTCCTCCTCGCCTTGACCCTCTCTGCGCGCTCGCTCTGCGGGGATGGTTGGGTCAATCCTGCCGCTACTACCGGCACTCACTCCCCCCTCCGCCTTCTCGGCTCCCGGCGTTCGGAGTGACCCTGCTTGCAGCTGCTTCTCTGCGGTGGGGCTTCGGCTTTCTCGGCCCTCTTTCTTACCCCCGGACAGAAGCACCATCGTCGCTTCCCGCTAAGAAGAGCGCGAGGTCCTGAGCTTTCGCCTCCTTGTAGCGCTTATCTCCCGAAGCCAAAGGGCGCCCGGGTAGTCCCGCGCCTCCCGCCCAGTTGCATAAATCTCGGCGGATAAACGCGGAGATCCAGAGGGAATGTCCAGGAGGAAAGAATGAGGGTTGGGTGGCAACATACACTCACCCTCCCATTTTAGCTGAATAGCCCTGACCATTCACAGCAAAGTCACACTTATCTCCGGTGGGGGGGGGGGGGGCACCCTCTATACAGTAGTGCGTAAAGAAGGCGGGGTGGGGAGAGGCAGATCAGTGTTAAGTTCACAGCACAGTAAAAGATTAGACCGGGGGGGGGGGGAGTCCCTCCGTGTACGCCGTAGACATACACAATAGAAAACGCATCTCAAGGGAGAAGATAATCCACCGCAGGTACCACCTTCCGATGGGGACGGCGGGGGAGGGGGGGAAGGACCCGGTCCTGCCGCAATGGACTTCCCGAAAACTTTCTTCCGTACAATTTAACTGGAATCTTGATACCACGAAATCCTGATGGAATCTACCCGTCCTCCCCCGATCGTTCGCGGAAATCACCCTTCACCCCATGCGAAAGTCCTTTAAAAGCAAGCCTTTTAAACGTCTGTAAAAGTAAAACAGCGGGAATGGGGATTTCTTCCCACATATATTGGAACCGGCAGCAAGGCACGTTAAGACTCAGCCTAAGACTTCCCAGAATTCTAGAGAAGACGATTCTTGTCCGAGTCATCGGATAGCGTTCAAGCATTACGCTTGCTGCATCTTCCTATCTGCTAACGCTTTCGGCATGTCACGAGATGCCTGCCAAGAGTTTTTCCGACGGGAAACTCCAGAGTCGGGGGTTTTTGAGAAGAGGTTTTTTATAAAAACCACCCAAGCAAGTGATTTGCTGGCAAACAGCGGCAGCAATTACTTGCTTGCTCGTTCCCATCCTTATTCGCTTGGGGTGGAGAATTGGCAGAAACTCGACAGATGCTATCTATAATAAAAGAACAACAATACAATTTAGAACTATCTGACTTCCAATTGCATAAAGTTTAGACATCCTCGGCACCCTCGACTTAAAAAAAAAAAACAATTCGCAGGCGGAAGTGTAAATCAAGTGTTTTTCCCGCCTGAAGAAAAATCGTCGTTCGAATTTCTCCCACAACACTTGCTTGCGGCACTGGGAATAAAATATTGCCGGAACATTCGACAAAGAAAGTTACTTGCATTTACAGTTTTATTGAAGCTTTTGCAAAAGCTGAGAACAGTTTTTCCATATCGCCACTTCCCTTCAAACAATCCTACATTTTTGTAACCTCCTTTATCCATTCAAGGTCGATAAAGGGGGTCAAAAAGAGGCAGCGATTACCAATACAGCCACCGATCAATCCTATTGCGCAACATTGCAATAGGAATCTTATTGCACAACAAGTGAAGAGGGCAGAGAGATTTCAGAAAAGTCCTGCAATCATGACTCCTAATCGGATCAGCAGAAGATGAAAACTCGAGTTTAGCATGTTGACATCAGGCACATTTTTGCAAACCGATTTACATGCAGCTATAATCCATGTTAGTACAGAGATTGTACGCCTGAGACCAAAAAAAAAAAATTGTAACCAAGAAGCCAGCCATAAGACTTCTGAATACCTTCAGTTCCCGAGCTTTTCCATCCGTTCTTTGCACTGCAGAACTTTGCCAAAGGATGTGTGGCTCATTTAGCATTTTATAGCCCTAACCTGCCTCACACTCAGGACAGCAAATGTGATAAAAGCAAGCAGGACAAATTTTTAAAATAGGGTTAAGAGGGTTATTTAAAATAATTTTGAAAGGATCCCATGGAACTTGCAGAGAGAATGGCTAAACTGGGACGAAATACGAATGCCTGCACGTTTATGGATACAACTTCAATGTTTAAAATAGGCGGCTAAGAAGCTAAGGAATGGAAAATCCACCTGCTAATAATCACTCTGCCCAGAAAGTGACATGTAATGTATTCACATCTGAAGTAATAAAGGCCTTTAAATCATGGCTTTAATTATGGAAAGGTTAATTCTTTATTAAGCCTGATAAAGAAGCTGGAATAGAGTTCATGTGCCTTGTAGCATTTTTTAAATTAAAACAATAAAGAAGCTACAAGTGTGTGGAACTTTTCTGAAAGACAAACCATCTGATTAAAAACTTAAGAGGAACAAATGGCTTTGTTGCAAGATTGCTGTTTCAAGCACAGCTATTTAATAGGATTATAGTTTTAGGTTCCAGTAATCTGTTCTACTCATGCTGCATTTGAATGATCTATCTTTAGTACAGTCTGTCAGTAATCCAGTAGGTTTTTCCTGCAAACTGGCATAGATGCTTATTTTCTCTACTGCTCCTCAGAAATGACGGAAAGCAATTCCCACTAATACGCACAAAGCAGTACTGTTTATTAATGGCTACTATTCAAGAAGTTGCTGAACTGGGATCAGGCAATTATTGACATTTAATCAGTATCCCCTTGAAAATATTTGATGGAATATAATCACAACTGATTTCAAAGGAAATGTGGGGGGAAATCAGTACTTGGGTTAAAATTCAACATGTCAGGCCAACAATTCCCAAACTGGTCTGCTAGGAGGTCAATAGCAGCCTTTTCAGATTTAGCAGGCTGGGCCTACTTGTTTCTGAGCCTTTTGTTTCTTCCTGTTGACAACAAGTTCAGCTGGCCAGGCCAAAGCCTCTTGATAACTCTGCTCCCTGCCTGTTAGCCAGCCAGATCTTTTATTTATTTAGTTAGTTAGTTTGTCAAACATGTTCGAGATAACAGGAATAAGTATAAACATGGATATTAATGCAGGAAATGAGTATGAATAAATGGAGACAGTAGGACAGGGACGGAAGGCACGCTGGTGCCCTTATGCATGCCCCTTACAGACCTCTTAGGAATGGGGTGAGGTCAACAGTAGAGAGTTTAAGTTATGGGGGGTTGAGGATGTAACAACAGAGTCAGGTAGTGCATTCCAGGCATTGACTACTCTGTTGCTGAAGTCGTATTTTCTGCAATCGAATTTGGAGGTCACTATCTGAGTCCTGCCCTCTCCCTGCTTACCAACAGTTAGCTGTTTCTTGAGAAACTTAAGGTCTGAATGGTGGATATTCTCTGTTGAGACTCCAACTTCGGAACAGTCCCCATATGTGAGGAAGGTGGCTCCTACCCTGTTTCCCCCAAAATAAGTCATCCTCTGATAATAAGCCCAATCAGGCTTTTGAGCGCATAGCAATAAGGCCAAGCGCTTATTTCAGGGTTCAAAAAAAATAAAATAAGACAGGTTCTTATTTTCAGGGAAACATGGTATTCTCATGGACTTCCAGAAACGTGTGGAAAAACCTGACTTTTCCAAGGGACTTTTAGAAGATTAATTCTGCATGGAACCATCAATATAATAATGCTTTTACATAAATTGCATTAATATTTGCAGCACTGTTGTTTTTGTTCTATAATTGGATTATGTAAAATGCCTCAGACAGTAAATTGATCCAAAAAATAAATTAATAAATAGGGTATGTGGCCAAAAAGAGGGTTCATTGAAATGTGTAGGTGATAATACAGATAGTCATGTGAATATTAACATTCAGAAAACTGATAATAGTGACCTAAGCCTTAAATGCATTTACTGACACTAAATACACATTTGCAATGTTGGACAGTATATTTGTTCTAAAAATTGGTAAGGGGTACATAAAATACTTAATTTTTGATTTAATTTTTTGCTGCTGATTTTAAGAAAAAGGCCCTTAAACAGGGAGGCTATGGGAAATTATAGATAAATGCAGATATTGCAGATATCTTGCCAAACAACATGGATTTAGATGCTAACAAAGTTGAAAATGTAGGTGGGGTTGAATTGGATGATCACATTTCCCAAAGGTTTATTTTATGATCCATGAATGTAGAAGGTTTGCCTGGACTTGTTACCAGGAGCCATAAGTGACTTGAAGGCACACAAAAGAGTAGTATCTAGCTACAGAGTTTTGATAATTTATTGTTTCTATTTTTTCTTTAAGTAAATCAGATCACATCTACCAACTGGATGGGAGAGTTGTTCGATCCATGTAATTCTATAAATGCCTTCAAGGGAGACATATGTTTAACAATTAAATGAATGCCTAACCTACTGCATTAAATAAGATTCTCATAATTAAATGTCTTATTTAATAGTATCTTTCAAAATCTATTTGATGGAATATATTTCAATAAATTGTGATGTTAATAATGTAAATTTTCCAAAGATCTGTTAGCAAACAAATAACTGTTCAAATAATTCTGCTAAATCTAAAGCAATTCATTCTAGCTAAATCTGATAGTATGCAAACAGGGTTATGGAACTGTTTCTTCCTTCATTTATTTTTTAAATTATATATTTCAAATTTAAATATATTTAAATTTATTTAAAATATTATATATTCAGATAGCATGCTCTAGTTACTATATATTATTTAAAAATTACAACTATGGTATTAGATTTGTAATCCACTTTTATTTTCATGTGGTGAAACCCAAAAGATCTTTAACTAACAATTATTTCTATCAACATGACAATTCCATGTTTACCTTTTCTAGTTATTTAGTTGTTTTCCTAATCTCAAAGGCCCCACACATTCTAATCACCTTTAAGATTTTAAAGTAAAAAGTGTCTTTTTTAAAGTCTGCCACTACATGTACAGTATTGACTTTTTTTCTTCTTCTGTTCAATTGTGTCCA